GACTCCTCAGTAGACAACTCAAATTAAAATTAAAAACTTAAAGTAGCAAATTGCAATTTAAAAAAAATGAAGATATGCCAATATTAAGATAAAATAAAATGACCTAAGCTATTCTAAAAAAAACAAAGTTTATAACTAGGAAAAACACAAGGTGAAAAATATTATAAATAGCTATAAAACTATCTACAAAAGTTATAAATCAATAAGGAAAAAACTCTAGGTGGGACTACCTAAAAGAAAAGAGAAATAGACTACGAAAGACAAAACAAAAAAATAAATAAACTTAAAACTATCTACAAAAATTATTAATCAAAAGTAAACATCTTCTAAGAAAAACTAAAAAAATATTATTAGTTGCTAATAAAAGACAAAAGCTTTCTACAATCGACCCAACTATTTGGCTCTGACGAAATTACCTTCCAACTAATTAAAAAAAATACAATACAAAGAAACAAGAAACAAATTTATGGCGAGGAAAAACCCTAGGTGGGATTTCTAAAAAGAGAAATGGACCACGAAAAGCAAAAAAATTATTTTAAATGACTAAAAATAACTACATACAAGGTAATTAAACAAAAGTAAACATTTCCACGAGGAAAAACTCTAGGTGGGAATTCTAAAAAAAGAGAAATAGACTACGAAAAGCAAAAAATTATTATAAAAACTAAAGAATTACCTACAAAGTTATTAATCAAAAGTAAAATTTCCTAAGAAATTAACTTATAAGTAATACTTATTAATGAACTGCTCTTAAATAAAGACAAAAACTTTAAGTAACTAAAGAATTACCTACAAAGTTATTAATCAAAAGTAAAATTTCCTAAGAAATAAACTTATAAGTAATACTTATTATTGAACTGCTCTTAAATAAAGACAAAAACTTTAAGTTATTATTTAAAGTACATTAAGCGAGCGAAGACAAGAGAAAATTCCCTTTTAAACCAAATTAAACGAAGAAGAGAGAATAACCTTTTAGACCAATAGGAAACTACCAAAAACAATAATACAATACGAAAGTTCATACAAAAATAGTAAATTACTAAAAAGGCTAACAGATTTTACGCCATAATATGTTATTTATAAAACCGTTCAAGATAATTTCTAGATAAATCAACAAATCTACGTTAGATGAGTATGGTATACACAATAAAATATTAAACAATATAATTTTTAAACCTATTAAACAATATATATCTAAATCAAGGTTTTATTAAAATAAATGAATGTATAAACCTACTAACAATGTCCTGCTAAAATGACTTAAAAAAACACAAACCAATCTATGGTTATATAGGAATGCAGGAAATAACAAAGGCTATTACCCTTGTTTATAGCAACAGTTTTTATAAACTAGAGATCCAGGAGTTGTTTATAGCAACAGTTTTTATATACTAGAGATCCAGAAGTAAATAAGGGAGCTAAGTTTAAAATTATCATAAAAGGCTATTAACCTTGTTCATAACAATAACAATTCTTATTAACTAGAGATCCGGGAATTAATAAGAGAGCTAAGTTTGAAATTATCAAAATCTTAAATTAGCTAGAGATTAATTAACCTTGAAATTATCAAAATCTTAATTAACTAACGATTTATTAACCTAACTTGAAATATCAAAATCTTAATTAGCTAAAGATTAATTAACCTAAAATCGCTCATAAAAACAAGAAAACTTTACAAGTATTTATTTATTCTTTTTTATTAACTAAAATATTACGAATAAGATTTACAAATAATTCCTTTTTATTAACTTATACTTATTTATTAACTTAAATATCTCAAATATATCAGCTATTGATAAACACACTGTAGATCAATAATTAACCAACTAAGATAAATTGAAAGTAAATTAAAATAAGCAATAAATATAATTGAGGGTCAACTGTCGATTAGAAATGTATGTGAAAAATATACATGTGAAGAATATAAAAGGAAAAGGAAAATTATTTATTTTTTTTATAAAGAATAAGTTACCTCCATATCGGTATAATTTGTTTGAAACCAATCGACGTAAAAAGGAAAATTTTGAAAAACTACAATAAGAGGAAAAAATATTTGAATCCAAGAGACTGAAATCGACGAAAAAGGAAAATTACAACTAATGCAAATATTTTGTGAAAGAGAAAAAAAATAAAATACACTAACAAAGAAAAGACAGAAAGCACTGGGTGGGAATTATATTTTATATGTTTTTATTTTAATTTTTTTTTAAAAAGAAAAACAATCTATAATAAAACTAATTGTGAATCATTTTTAAATAAAAGCAAAAAATTAATTTCTTTAATAAAAACAAAACTTTTCAATGCTATATTTAACTACAAAATATGGAGGATATTCTCAGAAGCGAAAAGGAAAAGTATGAATATTTTATGAGCGATAGACAAGATAATGAAAATAAATCATAAATTCATCAAAGCTAAGGGAAAATTTTTTATTACAATAAGAACAACACGCTTCGAAAATTTAATAAAAATTTTGAAGGAACAAAAACATACGGCAAGGTAAATCAAAACTTATAAAAATTAAGGCAAGACAGTTTCTTTAGCAAAAATTAAAACAAGGCAGCTCCCCTTGCGAATAATTTATTTATAAGACAAGTCTAGGAGGAAAATTAAAACGATTAACAGTTATTGTCAAGGGGAAAGTTTAAACAAATATATATAAGTCATTAAATAGAATTAATATGTAAATATAATAAAATATTACTATACTGGATATATAAATGCCCAATATATAAAGTAGACATAATCTTAAAAAAATATAATGTAGTGTGTAGACTAATATGAATGATGTAATATAATATAATGATTCACATATAAATTATATATAATGTAATACATATTTATAGTGTTGAAAAATCCAAAACTCACTTTAACAGAAAAACAAATAAACTATAATGTGTAACCTAAAATGTAGCATATTAATACTAAAAGTTTAATACACATACATTAAAGTATAATATAATAGTATTACATAACGTAAAAAATAATAAAAATAAACATAAACAAGAAAATATATATAATGTAATACTTATATATAGTGTTGATAAGTCAAAAAAGCTCTAGATTAAATTTACCAAATATGTCAATGTATTTAGTGTTGATAAGTCAAAGAAATATATATATATAATACAGTACTTTTTTATAGTGTTGATAAGTCAAAGACTCTAAATTAAATTTACCAGATATGCTAATGTATTATTCGTCAAGAAAAGACCTACATAATATAGGTTGCAATATGTATACTGATAAATTGTATTTTATTTTACGAAAATGACTAGAGGAAAAACCGCTAAAAAATATACAAAAATCTCCGATACTATACTAATATATAGAGGTGATAAGACAAAATAAACTTAAGATTAAAGTAACCAAAAATGCTAATAAAATATTCATTAAGAAACTACTGTATCATTCTTAAAGGATGACTGAAAAACTTCTAGGATTAAATTTACCACAAATGCTAATGTATTATTTAATAAAAGACCAGCATAATTTAGGTTGCGATATATTTACTGATAAAATTTACTCTCTTAAATGAAGTTGACTGAAAGAAAACCGAAGAAACTAATGAAACATTCTTAAAGAAAGACAAGCATAATTTATGGATACCAATGACATATAATAATATAATACCTAGACTGACGATTCATTCATTAAAATGCATTTTTAAGCGTCGTTAAAAGCAAATCAGCTGGATCCGCCATTTTGGTAACAGAAATCATTATTAAAATTTTAAACGAGAGCCTAATTTATTAATATATCTGAAATTTTTCCTATGATACTTAACAAAGAATTTAAATCCACATCCATCTGCATTAATGGTACCATCAAGGATCCTATCCCACAAATATTCCAAGGCTATTCTTCCAAGAAGATATATATTTAGCAGACCAAATTCAAATAAATGACTAAATTATTAAAATTTATATTTTAAACATTTTTTTATACATAGAATATAAAGTATCTAATAAAGTTCCCTTACTTATCATTTGTTTTTCTTAAGACACAATATAATTGTTTTTAGTTTCTATTCTATTCTTAAAATATCTAATAAGGTAGATATATTTAAATCATTGCTTAAATTTATGTTTATCTTAATATGAGACTTTACTTGCCCTTTTAATATTTCGAATCATACAAGGTGATAAACTGAATCATCAGGATTTTTATTATAAATATTCATATTGTTTGGCTTAAACATCTAAACATAAGTTAATTTTTAAAGAATTCTAGCTAAAAATTTACATTATGATATTAATAAAAAAGTAAAGTATAACTTAGAAATCCAGAATATTAGGCATCCTCTCCAATATTTTTCTTAAATAATAAATGTAAAATTCTCTCAATTTTAAAGTTGTGATCCTGAATCTTAAAAATAGAGGTATTTCTTTTTTTTTAAATATAAAGTAAATGTTTAATCCTCAGATTCTCAATAATATATATATTATAAAAAATATGTTATATTATTAAAGAAATACAATATGAATTTAATATTTTAATCAGTTGTGCTAATTGGATCATATTGATTTAATAGATATTTCTTAGGATAAATTATGTATTGCAAATAAAAGATTATTTTTCCTTATATTATATTATCCAGTTTATTTTATCAATAAAAAAAATATAGATTAAATAAATTAAAACATTTCTAAGACTTCAGATAAATTTAGCTTAATCTTACCTTTTTATTTTTTGAAGAATTTCATAACTTAATATTATGAGATTATTAATCTTATGATGAAAATCAATAATTGTTTATAAAATTAATAAATAGAAATAATATTCATGAATTACAAAAAGGATTTATAGATATTATTTATATTTAAATATATATAGTTACAATATATATCTAATATCATTTAAATTAAAAAAGATTATATAGATATATTTATTGTCCTTTAAATAGAATGGTTTTGGTCAGCTTCTGACGAATGTTGGTATTTTCATTTTTATTTTGTTTATCTACAAAATGTTAAAATCTTATGTTTATGTAACGTTCAACTATTAATCTAATTAATTTTTGATAATGGCTAGATGTTTCTTCTTGATCTAGCATGTGATCAACCAGATTATCAAAAATATTTGTAGTTTGGGGTTAGGTCCTAATAATAATTCCCTCCCAATTCCCAAAATGCTTTTCATTGACAAGATTAAGCCTATAATGCAGACTTTTTTTTTGATCTATAAATGTATTTTCAACTTTCAAACTTTAAGGATTTTAAAGTTGTAATGCACATCTCAAAAAAATTTTCATAATAAGAAAGTGAATTTGTAGTTAGTGGTTTTTTAAACCCTTTAGCAACTATGTTCTGTGTATTTAAAAAGTCAAACATTCTATAAAAATATTATTTAAAATATTAATATATTTTAATACTGATCAATCATTTGAATAAAGTCAACTGTGCTCTCACAATTTTCAAACCCATCAATCTTTAGCTCTTGTGCCAAAAGAATACCTTTTGCCACTGAGCTACTAAAAACTTGTACAGCAAGTTTAACCTTTAAAAAAAAATATAAGTGTTGTAGTATTTTTAATTGTACTTTCATTTTTTGTTTGTGATAGTCAATATGAGATTTATTAATTTTATTAGCAGCACGAAGTCCTTCTTTATCTTGTAAATTGTGAAGATTAGCTATATATTTCCAATTTATTATCTATTAATTTATAAAAATATATATTTTAATAGTAATTTAATTACTAATCCATTATTATAAATTAAAATTTTTTTATCACCGAGAAGATTTCTTAACAACTTAATCATGTGGCATACGTCCAACTTAATGTAGACTTTTTCATCAAAATTTAATGGGTGAGTAAAATAGGGTATACATAGATCAGGATCTATAGATGCACCAAGTAGTTGGTGCATTTTTATATTAGCCACCAAATCATCACATACTATAACTTTACAGGAAGTGCCTGTATCATGTAATAAATGAAGAGCATTAGTGACTATATTAGCAAGCAAATCTCCAGTAGTATTTGATACTAAGAAGTATCCTATGGGAATTTTCCATGTTTCATTAAGACATGTTGCCATAAGAAAAAGAGCCTGTTTGGCTTTAGGAAGAGAATCAGATGGTTTGATTTCATTGCCCAAATCAACATATCCATTGTACTCCTTTTTGTCCCATTGTACAATATGACGAATGGACATTTCATCAAGGCTTAATGTGGTGAATAATTTTACTTTCGAATCAGATTGAAATCTTTTAATTCTATCAAAAGAAGCATCGAGAAAACCTAAAATCAAATTATTAATATTTTAATTTATAAAATATAAACCTGGCCTTATTTTAATTTGTTGGCTCCAACTCAATGTAGATTCTGATGGTAGGCAAAATTGATCCCTTAAGTATTTATATGCTTTTGGAGAATAAAAATAAACAGTGGAGGCAAACTGATTCATTTCTTGAGAAAATTTTATTCTCCGTGGATTTTTTATGCCTCCACTGTGTAATTGGGTTTTGATAAAAGCTAAAGGGATGCCTGTAAAAAATTTTTCCAATTGATCCTCCCCTTCACCACATATTAAATTTTTATTCTTCAATTGTTTAATAATTTATTTTAAATCGATAATCTTCTTATTTCTTATAGTTTCCCTCTTATAAAAGGCGCTCATTTTTTTTCTTAATTTTAAAATATATTTATCTTGATATTTGATCTTTCTTGATAAGAATGATAAATTGGCTGTATATATATGATCATTGAGATAATTGGCTATTGTTTGTGAAGCATATTTTCTCTTAATTAAATAGACAAATAAAAAATCTCACAAGAATTTTAATAAATAGGGCTTACATGGCTAGCAGGTTTCTCCAAATTTACATCTTCAAGAATATTAATAGTGTCAATTGTTTTTGAAACATTCTTATAAAAATATGTTTTATAATATAAATATTGTAATAAATATTAAAATATAGACAAATAATAAATCTCACAAGAATTTTAATAAATAGGGCTTACATGACTAGCAGGTTTCTCCAAATCTACATCTTCAAGAATATTAATGTCAATTGTTTTTGAAACATTCTTATAAAAATATGTTTTATAATATAAATATTGTAATAAATATTAAAATATAGACAAATAAAAAATCTAACAAGAATTTTAATAAATAGGGCTTACATGACTAGCAGGTTTCTCCAAATCTACATCTTCAAGAATATTAATAGTGTCAATTGTTTTTGAAACATTCTTATAAAAATATGTTTTATAATATAAATATTGTAATAAATATTAAAATATAGACAAATAATAAATCTCACAAGAATTTTAATAAATAGGGCTTACATGGCTAGCAGGTTTCTCCAAATCTATATCTTCAAGAATATTAATAGTGTCAATTGTGTCGAGGAACAGTATCGAGGAATTATGAAAGAAATAACGAGGAACATTATGAAAGTTTTATTTTTTATTATTATTATTATTGTTTTTTATCGAAAAGGAAAAAATTATTATTATTATTGTTTCGAAAAGGAAAAAATTATTTTTATTATCGTTTTTTTTATCGAAAAGGAAAAAAACTATTTATTATTATTATTTTTGTTTTGTGATGAATAACGATGATGGGGTAGAAAGTGAATATATAATGGAAGCAAAAGAAAAAAATTGATTATGATATGTTTTATTTTGTAAATTTTAATTGATGTATGTTGCGTGAAAGAAATAATAAAAGGAAATAAAAAACCTACCGTAAGTAAAAATAGAAAAAAACAAAATATATTTATATATATATAAAACAAAAAAGGATAATAGTAAGAAACCATTTCCAATATAGGAGGATTAAAACGATTTTAATAAATTGTTTTTGAAACATTCTTATAAAAATATGTTTTATAATATAAATATTGTAATAAATATTAAAATATAGACAAATAATAAATCTCACAAGAATTTTAATAAATAGGGCTTACATGCAGGGTTGCCATGTCTCCCCCCATCAGTGGGAGTCTCCCACAATTTTTTAGTTTACCACATACATCTCACTCCCACAAAAATCTCCCACAATTTTTTAAATTCTCCCACAATTTTTTTTTTTAGCATTTTAATGTTTTTAATATATAAACAATAATTTTGAGAGACAGTATTTGATTATTTTTATATTTTTAAAATAAATTTTAAATATTTATTCGAAAAAATGTCTAGTTCTTTTATTTTATTTTTCCGCTCTAAAATATATTTTTTATAAAATTCTCCACTCGACATTTTCAAAATTTTTGTGTTAGAAAGAATAGAAGTTAGAACAGTATGTATAATTATTATAAATATATTTTAAATTACTTAATATATTTTATATCGTTATCTAGAATTGCAGTGCTCCACTCGACATTTTCAAAATTTTTGTGTTAGAAGAATAGAACTTTTAGAAATTATTCTAATCAAATCAATGTGTATTTACCGAATTGAGGCAGCACAATAATCAATTAATACCAATTGGCTGTATATACCATATACTGCATAATTCTTGCAAGAAGGCAATGAATGTACTATCTGTAGATGTCGAAGTAATTGTGATGAAATGTTTTAACGAATTTAGTTCATCAATTAAAAGAGTCACTGAATTAAAAGAATTGGTGGAGTGGTCTGATTTGGAATGGTGTGAGTTGTTGCGATATGTACCTACCAGGTGGTTATCATTAATACCTGCCATCGAGAGAATTTTAAAATTTTACGAACCCTTAAAGAAATACTTCTTAAATAAAGATTTTAAAAGCTGTCCTAAAATTTTGGAAAATTTTTTCGAGGATGAAATGTCAGAAGCATATTTGGGATTAGTTTCACATGTAGGAAATCTACTTCATGTAGTTAATATTCAGTTGCAATCAGAAGATTCTTTATTGATAAAGATTCACAAAATCATGCTACAGCTCTGTTCATCTCTACAGTTAAAAATAGATAATAAATTTTATGGCGCTATTGCTAAAAATATCATATTAAAATGTTCAAATATTACTATAATTAACGTATTTTTAAATGAAGCAAATATTTTTATTAAGACAATTTTGGAATATTTACAATCAAGATTTGATTTTAATAACTCTATTTACAAGTGTATAAATATTATGACCTTGGAACAGAAACCATCATTTGATGGTTTTTGTAATTTAATAAATATATTAAAATTACCGATAGACATTGAAGCCATGTTTGAAGAGATTGTAATTTTTTCCATTTTTTATGATTCGCCAGAATACTTAAAGTTAGATGGTCTAAAAGCAGAGGAGAAATGGGTGGAATTTTTTCGTAATAACGATAAATCCCCATGCTTGGAAAAAATTTGCGAGTATGTTTTCTCCTTACCTCATTCTAATGCCTCATCGGAGTGCATTTTTAGCCTGATGAGGACTGCCTGGAGAAAGGAAAGAAATCGAATTGCTTTAACAACATTAGAGGCTGAGTTAATGGTTAAACAAAATTATAAAATGTCATGCCAGGAATTTTATAAATATCTTAATAACGACGGTAAAGTTTAGTTCCATTATTTAAATCTAAAATAAAATATAATTAACTATAACTATTTGACTTTCTATATTTTATAAAATCTTATTTATACATTTGCATAAAATCAAATAAATTTATTTTTTACATTGTAAAATTAATATTTTGAATATTTTGGCAAATCATAAAAATAAAGAAGCATTACAATCTCCTTAAACATGGCATCATATTAAATCTTATTAATAATTATCCGATAATGTAATAATATTCTTACTTTGGTATTTCTGCAGCATAATTTAGTGAACCTTTATTAAATTATATTCTTCTAATTGCAACTGCATATTAACAGCATATAGTAGATTTCCTATATGTAAAATTCCTAAATATACTTCTGCCATTTATTTTTGAAAATTTTTTTCAAAATATTAGGACAGCTTTTATAATCTATTTATTTTTTAAAGGTTTGTAAAATTTTAAAATTCTACGGCGCGTATTAGGAGGAACCTGTCAACCAACATTATGCTGACTCAATTCTGTAAATACACTCTGGTTTTTGCCAAATTCACTGAGGAATTATCAGATCAGAAAGCTGCCATGCAATTCATTGGTAATGCCAAATCTGCCATATTTACCATTATATATGGTTAGCTATGTCTTTGGATATTTCATATCTGGAGAAAAATTTTATAGTTTTATTGAAATGACATTAATTTTGTTGAAATAGGGGAGGATCAAGGGAAATGTTTTGATATCTCCTTATTAGATGCATCTGTTAGAATTGCATGTTTGCACATCTTTCAAATCGTCAAGAATTGACCTTCTGGATTTATATCCTAAAACATTGATGATAGCCTTGCTCATTTGTGTTCTACAAAGTATACTTTTCATTTATATTAGTCGTTAAATATTATGGGGAAAGATTCTACCAACATTGTGATGTTAAGTAGCTCTCTGAATGTTGTACTGCATGATAGGTATTTACCATTTCCGCAACTGTAGTTGCATCTGTATTATTTCTTATTTTTGAAAAATATTTTTGTTTTGCAATAGATGTTGATAGACTGCCCTGTACTGATTTATGCTTTGAAGATTTTTGATGCCTCAAAATATCATATTCCCTTCCCCTTTTGTATTAACTAAATACTGTAGAACAACTTTCCCGCACTGATTATAATTATTTTTTACATTGTAAATTTAAAATTGTTTGTTTTTTTATAAAATCTTATTTATACATTAGCATAAAATATATTTTTTTACATTGTAAAATTACAATTTTTTTATAAAATTTTATTTAAAAAAGATCGTTGGTTATTATTTTTAAACAAAATTAATATATTATAATAAATCAATATGTTATTTTAATAATAAAGATAGTATTTAAGAAATTTTGTGTCGTACTATAATTACCTATTTTGAAAAATAGTTGCGTATTTTATTTTGGAAAATAGTTACCTATTTTATTTTGAAAAAGAGTTGGCTATTTTATTTTGAAAAATAGTTGGCTATTTTATTTTGAAAAATAGTTGGTGGCTATTTTATTTTGAAAAATAGTGGGCTATTTTATTTTGAAAAATAGTTGGCTATTTTATTTTGAAAAATAATTACCTATTTTATTTTGGAAAATAGATTCGATTTTATATTTATAAAAAATAATAAGCGGAAAACTAAGTCAATGGCCCGCAAAATTTTTTTTTTAGCAATTTTCATATTTCTCCCACAATTTTTATATTACTCCCACAAAATACCGAATTTCTCCCACAATTTGAAAATTTTGACCTAGCAACCCTGCTTACATGACTAGCAGTATACTTGGAAAATATGAGTGGCAAATATCTTCAAATATTGAAAAATCTTTTTAAAATAACATATTTACAAATAACATCAATCTTAATCATAAAATTAGGATAATATATATTTTTTTTTAATTCCAAAAATTAGAAAATATATAGCAGCTTTTTACATGAGAATAATTACTTTATAGGTTACCAAAATGGCGTCCCCAGTTGATTTGTATTGATGTACACTTTTAATGAATGAATCGTCAGACTAGGTATTATTAGGTTAATGATGCTTACTACCAAGTGAATGTATGGAAATATTCTAAATACCAACCTAATTTGCTAAATACCGACCAAAATTTATTAAAATGTAATAAGATCCTTATTATTTAATATATTAATACGGAATCACGTGGTCGAGTCCGGCCTCCTATATATTATCCCCCCAAGGATGGAACCACCAAGTTAGAATAAGAAAAAAAACATGATCATATCTGGGATTCGAACCCGGGACCATGGGATAAATAAACCAAGCTCTTGCCTACTAGGCCATAGAGGCTTTCCAAAAATCACGATTTTTCAAATATATATTATAAATATGAATCCCGGAAAAAAAACCCCTGGAAAAAAAAACCCCGGAAAAAAACCCCCGGAAAATAAACCCCCAGGAAAAAAACCCCCGGAAAATAAACCCCCAGGAAAAAAAACCCCCGGAAAATAAACCCCCAGGAAAAAAAACCCCCGGAAAATAAATCCCCAGAAAAAAAAACCCCCGGAATAAAATTCCCCAATAATTTTTTTTCATTTTTATAGAATTTACTTAAGACCGGTCTACTCTTCATAAAAAAATTCTTAAATAAGAAAAACTGATGTTTAAATTGGTACTGGGAAAAAATGCCTCAGTAAAATAACTATGTATTGTAAAAAAAAATTCCTATAGTAAAAATACAATACCATCTTTAAATATGATATTAAATAGACTAAATTTGACAAAACTTAGAAATAAGAAATGTTTATTTTATTGGTAAATCATGATTATGTATATATAATTTTATAATTTATAATAATAATTATATTGGTTGACATCGAATATTGAAGGATATCGCTCTTATAAAATCCGGAAGGCTTCGCACCCCATCACGGTATTCTTCGCAAAGTTTCTTTAGCCGAATCTGGTTGTTAGAACTCTGCGATTTTGTTTTAGATGTCCAACTACCTACGCGCCATCTTTCAAGTTTGGTTTCGTCGGCAGCCCCCTCGCATTTCATTTTTTTAATGAGTACCCAGATTGATGGGTGTTTATTACCAACCAGATTAGAAAAACGATGATTCCAACCTTCGCATTGATTATTTGTTCGTTCTTCATCTGAGAGAGTACTCTGATTCACGTTCCAGGTTTCTGGAGGAAATCGAGGCTCAATTCGACGTGTTTGGGATTGAGAATTGCTTCTCATGACATTCCTTGATACTCCATTGACATAATTTTTATCGAAATAATCGAGAATGTCCTTACCATTGCTCGGAGTAACTGATCTAAGGAATGTCATTGCATTATCCATATCACATAACGGAACGAATGCTAAGCCGTCCATCATGCCACAAAAAAAACTTAGAGTTTCATCCGTCCTATATTCGCTTTCCAGACCCAGCTTCTGAATTTTTCTATGTGTACTTTGACACAAATGGTAAAAACATCCTCTAATTATGATGTGATCCCCTAATTGAAAAAATAAATATAAATTATTAAACATATTAATAATCATACCAATGATACTCTTAACCGTGGTCATAGCAGACTTTTCGAAATCCATGTATATATATAATGGATCAGGAAATAAATCCCTTTCCTGACATTTAGACATTATTGTTTGAAATATTATTTCATATGTACTTTGAGTTTTTTTCTGGAGTACACAATAAACCGCTGTAATAAAAATATTGTTTATTGCTACTCTAATCACATATAATTGTAGAAAATTTTTTGGGGACATGGCAAAATTACCATCCATATACCACTCTGTCCTATTAGATACAAGGAATCATCTGTTGCGAACATTATTATGCGTTCTTCAGCTTGTGGGCCATTATCAAATAATAAAAATCGTTTTGAGTTCTGGGAGCCACAATTTGCCCAATCACCTATAATATTTAAATTTTTATGAAAATATAATTATATTTAAAGTAATACCTTCAATAACTAGGTCTTCCAAATTCTCAAGATTTGAAGGGTGTTGCATTGCTTTGTGATTCCTTAGAGTTCTTTTTATAGAATCTTCCGATAACATATGCGACTGAACTCTTTGGTCTAATTTTACAATTTCCTCTGCATAAATTTGAAGAGGTTTTGCCAAAGAGTCTGCACATCGCTTCTTCATGTTAGCTTTCATTGCTACTAGTCCATCAATATTTGATGGATGATTATGAGCTGTATCAAGAACCGGGTCTTGATTATCGAGTGTTGAAAAAAGTATTGCTCGGCATTTAAAAGAAGAATACTTTGAGCAGCGCCATCTAATCTTGTTTGAGCATTTTTTATGTATGGTATAAGAATAACCTTCAAATATGAGCTTTCCAGGATGAATAAGATCCATTAAATTTTTTTTATAAAATATAAATTTTATGAATAAAATATTTTTGTAAATTTAATTTTTTTTTATAAAATATAAATTTTATGAATAAAATATTTTTGTAAATTTAATTTTTTTTTTGTCTTTTATATACAGCATAAAGATCCAAATTATTATTGTTTAATTTTATAAATAAATACCAATTATAGCGTTTTTAATTTATAAACAATTTTTATTCTTTTGATTAAAAATACATTTTATAAACAATACATTTTAATATCTGTTCATTTAACTAGTTGCTGCAATAATATTTATTAACTTGCAATTGTCTAAAAACCAATTATAGCGTTTTTAATTTATAAACAATTTTTATTCTTTTGATTAAAAATACATTTTAAAACAATACCAATCATAGCGTTTTTAATTAATAAACAATTTTTATTCTTTTGATTAAAAATACATTTTAAAACTTTTAATAAGCTAAAAACTAAAGGTAGTTGCATATCAATGAGGTGAGAAATCATGAATAAATTAAAATTATCACATTTATTCAAAATACCAAATGCAAAAAAATTGAGTATTTTCCATTTGCATTTTAATGGTTTCAACTGAATTAAATTGTATATTGGGTGAATGTATATTTGTTTCTATTATAATAAATCACGAATTTATTTCAATATTCATCTTTCAAATATGCATGAATTAAGTTTCAATTTCTTTATATACTGGCTGCTAACAACCAATCAGGTTATATATAGATGTATTTCTAAAAATTGATTATCTGCTTAAATAAATTTGTATTTTAAAAAAAATACATTACGTTTTAAGTATCAATAGTAAATATAAATAACCCATCATATTGGGGGTAAATTTGGATGGTGCATCATATTCATAGGAGACACACCAACTCCAGCAAGATCCATGACAGTAGGAGGAGGTGGGGGTGGAGGAAGCATGAATGGTCTATAAGCAAAAATTTGATGAGGTCATAATATTTTTAACAAATTATTAACTTGCAATTGTATATATACCAATTCAATATAAATTATTGCTAGAATATACTTAAATATGAGAGTGTATAAAAATAATCTCAAGGGGATTTTTTTCCGGGGGTTTTATTTCCTGGGGGTTTTTTTCCGGGGGTTTTATTTCCGGGGTTTTTTTTCCAGGGGTTTTTTTTCCTATTACCTATATATTTGGTAGTGCCTATCCAAATGAAAAATGAACAAAATTCAAATTTGATAGATGGTACCTTAAGGTACCAAGCATCATTAACCGTATTATTATATGTCATTGATGGATACTGATAAAATGAACTAACTTTTATGAAATTGACTGAAAAACCGCTAAAAAAGAAATATATAAAAAAATAAATTTCTGATACTACCACGGAAACCAACAAGGAAACCAATTCCAAGGTAAAAATCCATAACCATTAAGCACATAAATTACAACTTATAGAAATTAATGTCAAAAAGTTTAAGGAATTAAGAGAATCATTAATTTAGAAGGGACCTAGATTAATTAAGTAATCATGTAAACTAAAACATCTTTAAACCAAAAATTCAAATTAAGAGAAACAAAAAATAATTAACTATTTCTGTATTAATAATACCAGACAAATCTGAGTATTTATTTAACCAGACAAATCTGATATATCATGTAAATAAATGTGGAGAAATTGGTCCTATAAAATATCCAAATTTAGCTAATATTAAGACAAAGTACTAATAAATGTAGGACATTGGATATTAAGTTCCAATACTAACTTTCAAACATAAGAAACAGTAAGTGTTTCTATTAGAGAGGGGATATCAATTAAATTAGTATCTATTAAAGAGGGGATATAAATTAAATTACAAAATAATATAATTCACAAATAAAGTTACTGATAACTTTAAAAAAATACAATATGAATTAACAGTATTTAAGTTTATGGTGCTAATATGTATAAAAGGATAAATTAAAGTTTATGGTGCTGAAATTACAAATGTATCAAAATATACATAGGCCAAGAAAGAAGGACCACCCACCGACTAAAAAATTAAAATATAAGAGAATCATTAATTAGGAAGGGACCTAGATTAATTTGTAAACTAATTACGTTTAAACCAAAAATTCAAATTAAGAGAAACAAAAAAATAATTAACTACTTCTGTATTAATAATACCAGACAAATCTGAGCTTAACTACTTCTGTATTAATAATACCAGGCAAATCTGAGTATTTATATTACTAGACAAATCTGATATATCATGTAATAAATGTGAAGAAAATGGTCCTATAAAATATCCAAATTTAGCTAATATTAAGCCAAAGTATTAATAAATATTGGATATTAAGTTCCAATACTAACTTTCAAAACATAAGAAACAGTAAGTGTTTCTATTAAAGAGGGGATATAAATTAAATTAGTATCTATTAAAGAGGGGATATAAATTAAATTACAAATTAATATTATTCACAAATAAAGTTACTGAAAACTTTAAAAAAATACAATATGAATTAAAAGTATTTAAGTTTATGGTGCTAATATGAATTAAAAGGATAAATTAAAGTTTATGGTGCAACCCACAGACTAAAAATTAAAAATAAATATACCTGAAATCAAAGGAAAAAAATATCTGACCAATACCAAAACTACAAACAGAGTTGTAGTCATCCATGTCCATAATGCAGAAAGTCAAAATTGAAATCTACCCATAATTACGTCTAAGAAGTCAGATTGTTGTAATCCAAAGTTAGATAAAGCAAATTATCGCGGCCATATTCTTATCAGCAACAGGCCCATTTGCGCTTGATGGAGCCGGGGGAGAGAACGTAATCAAAGGAGTAAGTCGGAATGAGTGAAGAAGAGGAGGGGTTAGCCAGATCCAACCTTAAAATCTTTCCAAAAATGAGTCCAATTGGGAATTTACAAATGGAATATCCATTGCTCTTTGTGTAGGAGGTCTCGATATTAAAAATCAAGAGGCAATTTGAAGAAGGCCAGATATTCAAGGATTGATGTTTTTTGAAATTATTCAAATTAAAGATTTTATCCTTTTGAGCATTTTTAAATTTTTTATACAAGATTCTCGGTGGACAGCTTTATAGCATACACGTTATGTATGAAAACGTTATGATCCCAGTTATATATGCTCTCCTCCAGATAAATCAAGGGAGACATATATTCATTCATATAGTCAAAAATTTTTGTACCCGTGAAGGTATTTATTTCAATCCTCCAATTGGCCAAACAGATTTTGAGGCGGCAGCTATATCTGCTCTTCGATTTGTATTCCCAAATATAGTGATCAAAGGTTAATTTATGATATACTATTTTAATTTAAAATATTAAGGATGTTTCTTTCATTATTCTCAAGCTTTATGGCGGAAATGTCAAGCTTTGGGTTTTGTTAGATATTATCTAAACGATTCTTATGTCCATTTAGTTGTTAGGCGGATGACAACTTTACCATTTTGCAAGGAGGAGCATATGGCCGAAGTTAGTTTATCATGCTACTCAATAGCAACTAATAATCCATCCCTACTTCGTTTTATGGAGTATATGGACCATACATGGCATGGTGAAACTGCCTTATTCCCTCATACTATATGGACAAGGTATAAAAACTTAAAATAATTGTAATCAATCATTTTTAAATATTTATTAGGTATCATGTAGATGGGCCCCGCACAAATAACCATCTCGAGTGGTTCCATCATGCCCTAAAAAGAAAAACAAGCAGTGCACATCCGAATGTGTACGTCCTAATAAAAATATTGATCGAAAATCAGAATTCGAACGATATTAAATTGATACAAATTCATAATGGATCGATTGTTCGGCGGGCAAATCGCACTTTTGAAAGATTGAATCATAAAATAGACAATTTAACGTCTATGTATGATAGAGAAATTTTAAATTTGTTTTCTTTTTTAGATAAAATATCATTTTTAGTTAATTTTCAATCATCTAATATATATTTAAGTTATTCTGATTAAATTTTATATATATATTAAATTGTACATTATTACTTTTGTTTTTTATTATATTTATAATCCGAAAATATTATAAATATTAATACTTTTTTATATTTTTACAAAGATATACGTGTATATGAAATTTTACTTTTTTTTATTATATTTATAATCCGAAAATATTATAAATATTAATACTTTTTTATATTTTTACAAAGATATACATATATATGAAATTGTAATTTTGTTTTTTATTATATTTATAATCCGAAAATATAATAAATATTAATACTTTTTTATATTTTTACAAAGATATACGTATATTGAAATTGTACTTTTGTTTTTTGTTATATTTATTAAATCCGAAAATATAATAAATATTAATACTTTTTTATATTTTTACAAAGATATACGTATATATGAAATTGTACTTTTGTTTTTTGTTATATTTATTAAATCCGAAAATATGGTAAATGTTAATACTTTTTTATATTTTTACAAAGATATACGTATATATGAAATTGTACTTTATTAATACTTTTTATTTTTACAAAAGATATACGTATATATGAAATTGTACTTTTGTTTTTTTATTATATTTATAATCCGAAAATATAATAAATATTAATACTTTTTTATATTTTTACAAAGATATAGGTATATATGAAATTGTACTTTATTATACTTTTTATTTTTACAAAAGATATGCGTATATATGAATGTACTTTTGTTTTTTATTATATTTGAAATCCGAAAATATAATAAATATTAATACTTTTTTATATTTTTACAAAGATATACGTTTTATTCCTATAGTTTCTAGTAAGACAAGTGAGTAACATATACTTATGAATCAATATAAACCTTAAAAAAAATTTATTCTTATAGTTTCTAGTAAGACAAGTGAGTAACATATACTTATGAATCAAAAAAAAAATATTCCTATAGTTTCTAGTAAGACAAGTGAGTAACATATACTTATGTATAAATAAAAAAATTTATTCCTATAGTTTCTAGTAAGACAAGTGAGTTACATTCCTACAGTTTCTAGTAAGACAAGTGAGTTACATATACTTATGAATCAAAAAAAAATTATTCCTATAGTTTCTAGTAAGACAAGTGAGTTACATATACTTATGAATCAATAAAAAAATTATTCCTATAGTTTCTAGTGAGGCAAGTGAGTAACATATACTTATGAATCAATAAAAAAATTTATTCCTATAGTTTCTAGTAAAACAAGTGAGTTACATATACTTATGAATCAATAAAAAAATTTATTCCTATAGTTTCTAGTAAGACAAGTGAGTAACATATACTTATGAATCAATATAAATCTTAAAAAAATTTATTCCTATAGTTTCTAGTAAGACAAGTGAAAAAAATCCTATAGTTTCTGTAAGACAAGTGAGTTACATATACTTATGAATCAATATAAACCTATTCCTATAGTTTCTAGTAAGACAAGTGAAAAAAAAATTATTCCTATAGTTTCTAGTAAGACAAGTGAGTTACATATACTTGAATCAAAAAAAAATTATTCCTATAGTTTCTAGTAAGACAAGTGAGTTACATATACTTATGAATCAATAAAAAAATTATTCCTATAGTTTCTAGTGAGGCAAGTGAGTTACATATACTTATGAATCAAAAAAAAATTCTTCCTATAGTTTGTAGTAAGACAAGTGACTTACATATACTTATGAATCAAAAAAAAATTATTCCTATAGTTTCTAGTAAGACAAGTGACTTACATATACTTATGAATCAAAAAAAAATTATTCCTATAGTTTCTAGTAAGACAAGTGAGACATATACTTATTAATCAATATAAACCTTAAAATAATTTATTCCTATAGTTTCTAGTAAGACAAGTGAAAAAAATATTATTCCTATAGTTTCTAGTAAGACAAGTGAGTTATATATACTTATGAATCAAAAAAAAAATATTCTTATAGTTTCTAGTAAGACAAGTGAGTTACATATACTTATGAATCAAAAAAAAATTATTCCTATAGTTTCTAGTAAGACAAGTGAGTTACATATACTTATGAATCAATAAAAAAATTATTCCTATAGTTTCTAGTGAGGCAAGTGAGTTACATATACTTATGAATCAAAAAAAAATTCTTCCTATAGTTTGTAGTAAGACAAGTGACTTACATATACTTATGAATCAAAAAAAAATTATTCCTATAGTTTCTAGTAAGACAAGTGAGACATATACTTATGAATCAATATAAACCTTAAAATAATTTATTCCTATAGTTTCTAGTAAGACAAGTGAAAAAAAAATTATTCCTATAGTTTCTAGTAAGACAAGTGAGTTACATATACTTATGAATCAAAAAAAAATATTCCTATAGTTTCTAGTAAGACAAGTGAGTTACATATACTTATGAATCAAAAAAAAATTATTCCTATAGTTTCTAGTGAGGCAAGTGAGTTACATATACTTATTAATCAAAAATAAATATTCCTATAGTTTCTAGTAAGACAAGTGAGTTACATGTACTTATGAATCAATATAAACCTTTAAAATTTTTTATTCCTATTGTTTCTAGTAAGACAAGTGAGTTTCATATACTTCTGAATTAATATGACTACCATCCACTACATTTCAAATATTATTGAAGACGCCTGATTAAAACATTTATATTATTATTATATATTTTATATTAAAATATATTATATTATAATTATATATATTTTATATTATATTACACTTATATTAGGATTTTATTGTATTATAATATTACATTAAATTAATATTATAGTGTAATATATTTTTAATTATATATATTTTATTATATTATACTTATACTTATAATAAGATTTTATTTTTATTTTATATTTTATATTATGTATATTTCACTGATATTAGGAGATTAATTATAATATAAGTATTAGAATAGTACGTTTTTAGTATTATATTATTAGTTTTATATTATATTAGTAATATATTATATGTAATATATTATATTAGTAATATATTATATGTAATATATTATATTGGTATTATATTATTATACACATTATAATATTGGTATTATATTATATTTGTATTATATTATTATTATTATATATTTTATATTATACATATTAATATTGGTATTTATATTGGTATTATATTATATTGGTATTATATTATATTGGTATTATATTATATTGGTATTATATAATAATGGTATTATATTATATTGGTATTATAATATATTGGTATTATATTATATAGGTATTATATTATTTAGGTTTTATATTATTATTGTATATTTTATATTATATTATATTGGTATTATGTTATATTGGTATTATATTATTTAGGTTTTATATTATTATTGTATATTTTATATTATATTATAATATTACATTATTTTAGTATTATAGTGTATTACATTATTAGTTTAAATTATAAATTTATATTATTATTTTATATTATTAGTATTAGTATTATATTATATTATTATTATATATTTTATTTATATTATATATTTGTATTTTATTATATAGGAAATATTATATTACTTGTGGTGTTTTAAATTACGTACAAAAATATGGTAGGGGTGCCTTTGATCGTAAGACACTTCATCGTATTTTTCGTCCAACTCGTCCAATTCGTTCAAAATGGAGATTAATAGGTTTGAAATGGTAAAAATTAAATTTTTACCATAATCTTACGTTAAATGTTAATAATTCTTTTGGAATGGTAAAATTTAATATATATTATTCAAATTAGCAGGTTTCAAATGGTAAAAATTTATCTTAGCTCTTACACAATATCAAAAGAAAAACCTAGGATATAATTTCTACAGAAGAAGATTAATAGGTTTAAAATGGTAAAATTTAATATATATTATTATTCAAATATAGAATATTTAGCAGGTTTCAAATGATAAAAATTTATCTTAGCTCTTACACAATATCAAAAGAAAAACCTAGGATATAATTTCTACAGCAAATTAAGAAGATTAATAGGTTTAAAATGGTAAAATTTAATATATATTATTATTCAAATATAGAATATTTAGCAGGTTTCAAATGGTAAAAATTTATCTTAGCTCTTACACAATATCAAAAGAAAAACCTAGGATATAATTTCTACAGCAAATTAAGAAGATTAATAGGTTTAAAATGGTAAAATTTAATATATATTATTATTCAAATATAGAATATTTAGCAGGTTTCGAATGGTAAAAATTTATCTTAGCTCTTACACAATATCAAAAGAACAACCTAGGATACAATTTTTACAGCAAATTAAGAAGCTTATTTTATTATTCAAATTTATAATGTATATGACATATGTTAATTATTTCAAATGTATAAATCGAATACAAAAATATAAACAACTAATATTTATTTAGCATGTATAAGACAAATATTTATTATTTATAATGTATAAGACAAATATTTATTATTTATAATGTATAAGACAAATATTTATTATTTATAATGTATAAGACAAATATTTATTATTTATAATGTATAAGACAAATATTTTTTATTTAAAATGTATAAAACAAAGAAACATGATTAAAATAAATATAAATTTTATCAAATACATTTGAATTGTATACTAATTTAATATAAGCTGATGATTTATCAGCAAACTCCAATTTATTAATAATATGATTATTATATTGTGTAGTCAGCTTTTCCAAATTTCTTTCTTTTAGGATATATTTGGAATTTGTTTTTTTTTAGAGTCATTCCTATGAGGTAATATAATGCCTAATAATTAAATGATTATAAAATTTGATAACTTGTTAAACTTGATATGGCATTAAGATATTGCATGTTAGTTGTTACTAGGGGTTGAGATTGAGCAAATTTAACTAAAAGTAATGAATATAAAAAGATAATAATTGATGATACTAGTTAAAGTTGGTTGAGAGTTTGTAACAAAGAACTGAGACTGAGTAAACATATTGCCTAAAAAAAATTGATTATAAAAATTTTATTTTGTGAAACTTGATATGGTATTAGCAGACTGCATGTTGGGCATTGCTAGAATTTGAGATTGAGTAAGCTGATAGTCTAAAACTATATTGATTTTAAAAATCTAATATTTTATGAAACTTGATAATGAAGGTTGTATAATTTGTTGAGATAATTGGAATTGAGTTATTGGTTGACTATCAGACATAAGTATAAGGTTATTGACTAAATAATAGGTGTTATAGTGAATTATCTATAAAAAAAACTTACCAATAGGGGATTTACATTGTTCTAAGGTATGATCCTGAGTTTCTGTGAACTTACTGATTGAAAAATACCCCGTCCAGAACAACTTCTTCTTCTACATCGGTAATATGATTTGGAATTAATTACTCTATGCAATGTATATTCCAAATCATTAAAACATAGAATATCATGTCCTCTTTTGGATTTTTTATTAGTAATTTTGTTTTCTAAAATTACATTACCAAATTGATTATATCTAGATTGTTAACATTGAATTATATTGGGATTAATTCTTTTCTCAAGAAGAATTTTGATTATAAATAAAAATATTTTTAAATTATTACCTTTCCCGCACTTTAATGAACCAATCACAGAATTGGACGAAACTTTACGATGAAGTGTCCATACGATCATAGGCACGGAAATCAAAAATATTTGGCTATTTTGAACTTGGCGATTTCGTGTGGGAACCCTAAAATCAGATCAGAGAGCTACAGGCCTGGCCTTAAACCTGATTCGAATGCTTGGGCCGAAAATTTTATTTTTTAAAAATACATGGGCTGGGCTAAAAAAAAATTTTAACTACCCGGGCCGGGCCATATATTTTATAAAAATATATTTTTATAATTTTAACAGGCAGAATTTTTTTAAAGATTTTTATTTCCTTCCATTTCGTCGAAATCAAAAAATAAAAATGTTTTAATAATATATTAAATAAAATAACAAAATTTTCGAATCTTTTCTGAAAAAGGCCAGATATTCAAGGATTGATGTTTTTTGAAATTATTCAAATTAAAGATTTTATCCTTTTGAGCATTTTTAGATTTTTTATACAAGATTTGTTCACATATGATCGTGAAGGATTTGTCTTATACATTATAAATAATAAATATTTGTCTTATACATTATAAATAATAAATATTTGTCTTATACATGCTAAATAAATATTAGTTGTTTATATTTTTGTATTCGATTTATATATTTGAAATAATTAACATATGTCATATACATTATAAATTTGAATAATAAAATAAGCTTCTTAATTTGCTGTTTCTTTTGATATTGTGTAAGAGCTAAGATAAATTTTTACCATTTGAAACCTGTCAAATATTCTATATTTGAATAATAATATATATTAAATTTTACCATTTTAAACCTATTAATCTTCTTAATTTGCTGTAGAAATTATATCCTAGGTTGTTCTTTTGATATTGTGTAAGAGCTAAGATAAAAAGATAAATTTTTGCCATTTGAAACCTGCTAAATATTCTATATTTGAATAATAATATATATTAAATTTTACCATTTTAAACCTATTAATCTTCTTAATTTGCTGTAGAAATTATATCCTAGGTTGTTCTTTTGATAATGTGTAAGAGCTAAGATAAAAAGATAAATTTTTGCCATTTGAAACCTGCTAAATATTCTATATTTGAATGATAATATATATTAAATTTTACCATTTTAAACCTATTAATCTTCTTAATTTGCTGTAGAAATTATATCCTAGATTTTTCTTTTGATATTGTGTAAGAGCTAAGATAAATTTTTACCATTTGAAACCTGTTAAATATTCTATATTTGAATAATAATATATATTAAGTTTTACCATTTTAAACCTATTAATCTTCTTAATTTGCTGTAGAAATTATATCCTAGGTTTTTCTTTTGATATTGTGTAAGAGCTAAGATAAATTTTTACCATTTGAAACCTGCTAAATATTCTATATTTGAATAATAATATATATTAAATTTTACCATTTTAAACCTATTAATCTTCTTAATTTGCTGTAGAAATTATATCCTAGGTTTTTCTTTTGATATTGTGTAAGAGCTAAGATAAATTTTTACCATTTGAAACCTGCTAATTTGAATAATATATATTAAATTTTACCATTCCAAAAGAATTATTAACATTTAACGTAAGATTATGGTAAAAATTTAATTTTTACCATTTCAAACCTATTAATCTCCATTTTGAACGAATTGGACGAGTTGGACGAAAAATACGATGAAGTGTCTTACGATCAAAGGCACCCCTACCATATTTTTGTACGTAATTTAAAACACCACAAGTAATATAATATTTCCTATATAATAAAATACAAATATATAATATAGTGTAATATAATATAAAATATATAATAATAATATAATATAATACTAATACTAATAATATAAAATAATAATATAAATTAATAATTTAAACTAATAATGTAATACACTATAATACTAAAATAATGTAATATTATAATGTGTAATATAATATAAAATATACAATAATAATATAAAACCTAAATAATATAATACCAATATAACATAATACCAATATAATATAATATAAAATATACAATAATAATATAAAACCTAAATAATATAATACCTATTTAATATAATACCAATATAATATAATACCAATATAATATAATACCATTATTATATAATACCTAAAAGAAACCAATAAAAAAAAATTCTTTACTGAAAAAAAATTAACTTTTTAAAATTCTATAAATAATATTAATAAATTTTACGGAAGGCAATTATTATTTAAGTGAATTTTTATATATTTTAAGACATTTGTTTCGATAAATTTACAACTTGAAAACGAGTAACGTATTTTATTCAATATTTATTTTATTACATAATATTACAACTAACTAAAATAATTAACAAAAAACACGACTATATATATCTATAAAAACAAATTAAATTTTAACAACCTAAAGTCATAATCACAATAGACTTTAAAGTTAATGTTCAAATTTTATAACCTTTTATCTTTAATATCCCACAGCGATAATTACAATTTTAAAAGTTACAATTTCAAAGTTAATTTAAATTTAGATAATTTTCCTAATACAACAAACATCATATTTCTTTTTCTTTTAAAAATTAGCATCTTCGAAATATAATCATTTACATATTGTCTTTCTTAAAACATTATTTATTTTTTTATAAATATTTGAATGATATTCATTTGCATATAATATAAATAAAATTAAATTGATTCAATTTAAATTTATATGTAACAGAATGGAATTAAAATTATATAAATGGAATGAAACAAAAGGGAATGCAACGGAATGGAAACCCTAACCCATTCAAATGGAATGAAATCGAAGGAAATGAAATGGAATAGGGAAAACGGTGTAAAGATAATCAGATATAGAGAAGTTAAAGAAAATATGAAGTTAGATAGGGAGAATAAAAATAGATAAAATGGAAGGAAGGAATAAAGGAAGGAAGGAAGGAAGGAAGGAAGGAAGGAAGGAAGGAAGGAAGGAAGGAAGGAAGGAAGGAAGGAAGGGGATAGAGGAAAGAATGATCAATGAGATAATATATAGAACATCAACGAGAGAGATTGTAGAAAGAGCATAGAAGGAATGGGTTTTTGAAAAATAAAAGGAAAAGAAGAAGATATCATACGGCAATATGCGAAGCCAATGTTTAGAAAAAGATAAACATCAATCCAATTTATATTTATTTTGGAGGACAAAATGATAGTATAAAATTTTAGATATACTTTTAATTATTTGTATATAATTTATAATTCAGGATATGTATTTTGTGAATAATAAAAAGATATATCCATAATTATATATTCAATATAATTATTTTTTTATTCTAGGATGTGTAGTGAAAAATTTATATATTATTTTTAATATGTTCAATTTAAGGAATATTTGCAATTATCTTCAAATTAAGATTTATTATTTATAAAAAAGTATTAACAGGAATATTTATGATTATTATCAATACACGTTATAATATTTATTAAATAAGTGTTACACTAAACTACGTAATTCAAGCTAAAATCTATTCAAACAAATGTTATCAGAGTTATATGATGTTTTGCTTTGAAGTGTTTATTACAGCTAGCTTACTATTTTGATCCAGGTTCAACATTGGCTTAATACAAATTTTTCTGAGTAAGAACTGACGTAGGCCAAGGTAAGTCTAATTATATATTATTTTATAGCAATTATTGCAGAATGCTAGCAGCCTTGACCCAGGTTCGATCTTGGCTTGATACAATTTTTTATAGCAGTTAGGGTTTATAAAAGTTTATTAAAAATACTACATTTTATTAGAGACCGAACTATTCGATTGAACGGGACAGTTTATGGTTATCTTATGGATATAAGGTAAGTGTTAGAGTTTATACTAGATATAAACTACAATTTATAGCATCAAAATAATTTTAATTAAACTCTTTCAGGCCTCATGATTATTTAGACCAGTAATAAAAAATAATCATTAATTGGTGATAATCAAATAGCTATTAGCAGCCGTATTAGCTACGAGTGGGTATAACTTCAAACGGTACTAAAATGTTATATGTGATTAAATGAGAAATAAATATATAATAACATTTATATTAGTTATTTTTATCTTTAATCTTTAATTTTTTCAACTATATTCTACTCACCCTAAAAAATGAAATACCCCCCCCCCCCCCCCGGCTCCTTAGTTAGATGAAGGCTTGAAGGCTATATTTTGGCTAGAGTTCGATTTTTTAATGATTTTTTTTGGATTTCAACATCTTATATCACAAATATTATATTATACAATAATATTTACTATACATACAGTCAGTTCCATATAATATATGTCATTGTATTAATTACATTAATGTATTTAAAATTGTCAAAAATAATTCTGTCATTTGTCAGCTGACCTAGAGAAATCAAATCTGAAAGAATAAAAAATGGCAGCTGTCATAACTTTTGGTGGATTCCGAAATGCCTGAGCTTATAAAAACATGTGTTTTAACAGTTTAAACATAACCTACATGGATTTCATAATTAAATAAATGCTTAAAAATAGCATAGATTCTAATTTTTTTGGCATACTATGAAACTTTTAACAACAACTTCAATAAGCTTAATTATCAAAATTTTGATAACAGTATTTGTGAATATATAAACTTAAATATGAACAATAACCCTGCAACTTCATACAAGTTAAATACCATAATAAATAAATTGTCTATTTATTGTTGTTTAGAAGATCATACAGTGAATCACAGAGTTGTACACAACCAAATAGTTTTAAAAGGTATAACAAATTATAGATTTTAGTTAATAATTTAATATAGCTAATAATTATAATAAATTTTAAGGAGTAAATTTACTGTATTTTTGGCTGAAAGAAAAGCCTCAAACCAACTAGAGTGTATAATAAATTATATAAAAAAGAAAGAGACACATTCATCAAGAAATAAATCAAACACGGAACAAGTTTTTAATTATTCTATAGCTATAATTTTAATTTAAGTTAACGCAAGACATAATTGAATATTATGAAAACTTTAAACAAGAAGATACTTCATTTATATTGAAACAGGAAATCAGAAATAAAATGGAACGTATAATTATAGATATTTTTCCAAGTTTGAAATTTAAATAAATCACTTTTTTAGAATTTGATATTACTTTAAATCCATTATTTAAAACATTTATTAGCTTGATGTATAAGGGCATTTACATAAGCTTAAGTTTAAAAAAAATCCAGAAGGCTTTTTTTAAAGTCATTTTAGCTGTATTTTATAAGAGTTTCAATGGAGTGATGTTTAAAAGTTATTTGTTAGTTTTATTAATATTAGAGATTTGCAAAGCTTGGCCCATCTAAAAGCCTGACCTTCATTAAATGATATAATGGGCTAGGCTTAGAAAACAATTGAATCGGCCAGGCAGGGCAATTTGTATACATGATTTTTTGGGCCAGGCCAGGCTGAGCAATCTATACATATTTTGAACCAGGCTAGGCTGGAATTTAATTCACAAGAAATCAGACATGAGTGACCCCCAATATCTGATTTTTTAAAATTTTAATAGCTCAGGCATTAAAATTTTAGTATATATTTTTTTTTGAATTTTAAGCTGATTAGTACTATTTAAAATAAATTATCCAGGAGTTATTTCCTTGTATTTTAAGAGTTGACTAAAATACTAAATCTATAAATCTTCTTTTTTATCATTAATAGTGGTTTTACTGTGTAAACCAATTTACCCTCTGATCCATTTTCTCCATTTTTTATGGTATTGAGTATATGTAAACATGTGTGCCGCCGGTGATTTTTGGCCACACCGATGCTGCCACCAAAAAAGTGTCGGCGCTCAACACGCCGCCACCGATGTAAAAATTCGGCGGCGTGGCAGTGTGATACATATTTTTTATTATTAAAAATAATATTTATTTTATATATTATTTATGTATTGTAACTAGAAAAAAAATAATATTAAATATTTTATGAATTATTAAGTGATTTTATTTTTTAAAATTAATAAATATTATTTGCTTATTTGATTTTTAACAATCCATATAATACACATTGGCTCATTTTGGGCAGGTCTGGGACCAACGTGCTAGATAGGATAAGATTAGGATAGTAAAAGAGAAAGGGTATTGATATTATTATATATTTTATTATTTTAATATTAATTTTTATTTTAACTGCTAAAATATTTAATTATTTTATAATAGAATATTTAAATAAAACCTCATCCCACATTTAGAATTTTTTATGGCATAATATTTTTATTATTAACTTTTTATTATGTAGAAATATGGCATTATTTCAGATACAAAAGATTTACCAGATAGAACAATACTTAGCCGGAGTGGATTAGATGATGTGTATTTATCAATGAAAGCATGTCAACAAATTAATATAGGTCCTAAATTTTGTGCTATAACTTTTGATATGTGGAACAATATAGACGGCGAAATTATATTACCTATACATTTCACGAAATAGACAATAATTTTAATATCGTATTACATACATTGGCGACACATCATGTCACTCAAAAACATACCACTGAAACTATTCTTTCCGAGATATAAAAAGTTGAAAATGAATTTGATATAGGGTCCAAGAAAATTCAAATGGTTATGGATGCAAGACCCAATGTAAAGAAAAGTGTTCGTCTAGGAGAATATGACCATCATTTATGTTTGGGGCATGGATTACATAATCTAGTGACAGTTGATGGAATAAAAAAGGTTAATAAAATAGAAAATCTCATTAAAAAAGTGGGAGAAATTATTTGCCTTAAGATTCAACAAAATGGATTTTGAAAATATAAACGATATCGAAAATAGAAAATGTTTTGAATCGATATCATTTACATCGGATATTTTAGATTTGGGTGATAATGATTCTTTTTATGAAGATCGTTTGGGGTTTGATGATGATAGTGAATATCAAAAATCATATGAGAAAAAACCTTAAAATTAAATGTGCCTACATGTTGGCATAGTATTTTAATAATGCTGGAAAGTGTGACTGGCAATAACAAAAATCCTATAAATATTCTATTAAATAGAATGGAAAAACCGGATCTCAAATTATTTAACTCCGATTGGGACTTGGTGCATGCTTTTAAATTTTCTTAGAACCTTCAAAAAAACTTTTATATGTCCAAAAAGGAGTTACTATAAATTTATTCTTATTATTTCTTAGTGAAATTAAATATCATTTAATTGTAAAAGAATATGATAATCCTCCCATGCATCCCTTAAACAAAACATGCTTAGTAAATTTGATCATAGATTTCCAATAACCGATCTTAAGGTAGTATTTTAAAACACATAAATTATATTTTTTATATTATTTCTCTTTGTTTTATTTCTTTACTTAGGTGTTAGGAGCACTTTTGGATCCTCATTTTCAATCTATAAACATAGTAAATGAATATTTAAAGGAAAAAATATTACTTCGGTGCAATTTTTATGTCAACACGCTACCTCTCTGAGGCCTTACACGGACGAATTAACCGAATGTGAAATGACGGAAGTTGCTTCAAAATTCGATTATCTTACATTGGCTACGAAACATTCATCTATTCATAACAATAATCTGAAACAACAAGACTATTTAACTAGTTTAGAAAAAGAGTTTTATTCATTATTTTCGCCTTATAATTTAAAGATAAAAGATTTCTTAGATTTTTGGAAGATAAGGTAGTGTTGTTAAACGGCTCGTTTTGAGCCGATTTTTAAAAAAGGCTAATTCAATATTTTAGCCAGAAAAATATTGCCTAAGCCTTGAGATTTCGCTAATTGATGTCTAGATCTTTGTGCCATATATGAGCAAAATCTTCAGACTTGCGTAATATTATTCTAGATAAAATATTGAGTTAGTTGTTTTTAAAAATCGGCTCAAATCGAGCCTTTTAACAACACTAGATAAGAGCATTGGATCTTCCTAAACTTTCAATATTAGCTAGAAAGTTCCTATGTGTTCCAGCTACGAGCACTGGGCTCACTCTGAACTCTAAAAGATCATTATTATATTCTATAAATCTAAATATTATATATGATAAAAATCATTAAATTATAGTTATAAACATAATAAAGCATAAATTTTATTTTATAAGTGTTTACAATGAATTTATAATTTTAATTAAAAAAATTTGAGTTAGAAAAATATTTGACGTCGCCGCGCCGCCGTCGATTTTTGTGGCGGCGTCTAAATCGATTCGCCGTGCCAGCCGATCATTTTAAAAAAGAAACGCCGGCGCCGATAATGCTGTCGGAGCACATGTCTAGGTATATGTAAACCGATTCATGTTATTAGTCAATACTTTCCCCACATTTTATTGGTCTTCCAGGCCTTGATCCCATTACTTCCATCAAAGTACATCTTTCTCTCTTGACCCAATCATCTTTTGTTTTTCATTTGACACATCCCAACCTCATCACCTATTCAATTGGCAATCTTTTCCCCATAATTCATTGCTTATTTTTTTCACTCGCATATATATACCCCACACATCCATCTTTTTCATCTTCAGAGATAGGTTTTTATCTGTTAAAATATATATTTCTTGTAACTTCTTCCATGCATATCTGACCCTTGTAACAACAGCAAAATCAACACCTTCATCTGACCCAATTTTATGCTAAGGCCTGTTCTGAGCATGAACCTGGGGTCCAGACCCATGGTTTAGACTCGGGGTTCGTGTAAATAATGTTATTCCAAATGGTTCAAATAAAAAATATTTACCAAAAATATAGAAACGCAAAATTCAATGGCATTTGCTGAGGTTAGATAATAAAGCCCTGCAAGCAACTTAGCTTAAGGTTAAAAAATTTTTAATCGGGGCCACCTAGGGCTCAGAAATACCAAAAAAATAGGATTAAAATGGTTATTATGTTGGTTACCCAAAGATTATTTCCTGCTATACCATCCTAGTTCAGAATTAGATACGAACTAGCAAGATTTGTTTATTTTCATCTCTATTTTTAAACACTTATTGATTTTTTTCTAATTTTAGAAATGATATTAGATAAGTACATTTGATAACATTAGTTCCTAAATTCGGCAAGATTGAGCTTGAATGGGTTATTAAGAATACTTTTGGATCGTTTTTATTTAAGGGGGGTGGGGATTGTTATAAACATGCGTCTTTTTGTCCTGCCTATTTTGAAGTCAAAATATATAAAATCTTCAATTTACACTTTTTATAAAGTTTGTATAATTGCCATAATTGGGTGGCTAAATACAATATAACTCGGCTCAATCTTCAGATGCTTGCCGAAGAAAATCCGTTGAGGTGTTTTAATTTATATTAATTTCTTTCATATTACAGCCTCTATCTTTTTAAGAATAACCCCGAAAAACCAGAGTCATAGTTTTAGGCTAAAAACTTGGTCTAGCCATTTTTTAGCTTATTAAAAGTATATTTCGTTTGAAGAATTTTAAAATTAAAATTGTTGTAAAAGTATATTTCGTTTAAAGATTTTTAAAATTAAAATTGTTGTAAAAATAAATTTTTTTAAAAAATAATGTTTTTATTAATATTTTCTTTCAAGTTTTTAAAAGTAAATGTGTTATTTTAATTATTTTTGTAAACAAAATATTTTTATCTGAAGGTTTTATTCATTCACAATCACAACACTAAAAAATATCAAACATCTTATCCAAGTTTACAAAGTAGTCAAGAAAATCTCATCCATAGTTTCTTACTCAAGTGTAAAACCAAACTGCATATCGATTTTCACCTAATCTTTGATTCTTTTCTCCAAAATCATCTCAAAAATTTTCATGCAATGCTCCATGAAATTATAGCAAATTCACAAAAAATTAAATAATTTATTTTATGATATGATCCCATTATAAATACATAATAAGATATCAAACAAAATTTATTTATTAAGGATTTTGTTGAAATATATAGCCATAGAGGAGAGATATAAGTGCCTTAAATGCCATTGGAAAAAAAATAGATATAGATATTAATAAATGATGGCTGGAAAATTTGTACACTGATGGGGTGGACTTTTCATAAGATTTTAGGGGACCAGACTAGGCCTGACCTTTAGTAAAAATTTTAATGGCAAGCAAGTTTTAATAGGACAGAGGGGGAATAAATTTAGTAAGCCAGACCAAGCAACTTATGAAAAATTCTTAACAGGTTGGATTGGGCCATTGCAGTAATATATATTTACAAGAAAAATAGACATTATTTTGATATAAAAATGAAAATTTAATAAATACAAAATGACATGTCTATTTCACTCATTAAATATTTAAACCCACCTTCCTTACCATTGTTGTAAAAGTGCTTTATACCCAGTGAACTGTATAGTTTATTTTTTAGCCCATCTGATAAAAACCTGCCTATTATAGATTCCATCATAATTTTAATAAAATCAATTAAATGATAATTATTAACTGTAAATTTCAAATGCAGGAGGTCCCCTAAAAATATATTAAATTTTGAAATAGCTGCCTCATTATTCATTATTGGGTCTTCAAATTCTGGGTTCAGTGTGGAAAACTCTGATTTAGATATGTGTCTCTATATCCCAGACATGAAGGTAAACACATATTAGTTTAACATAATTTTGTAATTTTTTAAAGGAAGAAGATCATAGGACCATATGCTCAAATTTGTATCAAATACAGAGTTTATTTAGAAATCCAAGTAATATTTTTTGCCTTTTCAGAAATTTTGAATTTTTAAAATGGTTTACAAAATAAATTAAGATAGTAACTTCTTAGCTCAATCTTATTTTTTATAATATTTGTAACATTAATATTTCATAACATTTCATTTTTTAATACATTTTTTTTGAAAACTACCTTATTGTAAGCGTAATTAATATATATATTATTATAATTTAATATCCAATTAAAATTAAGACACATTAAGAAGTACCCTTGTTATTCCTGCCAGGGTTCCCATACTCAAACTTGTTGATGTTAAAAAGTTTGTATATTATTATATTATATATTTATCATCTCTTTAATTATTATTAATTTATAAAACACTTTTACCTTTATTTTTATATAATTATAATGGTGAGTGAGATTTTTTTTCAAAATTGGCTATTCAATAATAATTTTTTTTTACACTCAATAAATACCATTAATTTTTCAAAATATGTTAGGAAAAAAACATAAAAGTATTTTGCAATTTTTTAAAAAAAAAGAAGAATTGTAAGAAGATAGTGTTGCCAGCATTCCCTTTCGTCAGTTTAGTGCCTTTTGGCAATGTCTTATTCATGTATGAGTGCAGAAAATATTTTTTGTTTCGAAAAGACCAAAGCTTTAAAAGCTTAGAGGATTTTTAATAAAATTAATATAAATATCTAATGATTTCAAATTTGTTAAATTTACTTTGGATCTCGATTTAAAATACTTTACAAAAATACAAAAACAATGGCCTTGTAGGCCCAGTGTTTTAATTTGATTAAGATTATGATGAAACATAAAAATATTTATTAGAATGCTTATATAAAATGGCTTATCCATTTATAAAATTCTCTAAAATGAAAAAACTTCTCCCTCCCTAAATATTCATAATTTAGGAAAACAACAACTCAGGCTCTTATTTGTCGAATCATGAGTTTTCTTGAATACCAAAAATATTTGAATTAAATTTTTAATATATATGGAATCAGATTATATTTAACTGTTAACTATCTACCCATATGATTTGAAGCATAGATTCAGTAAAACAAAAAATAATTAATGTATTGAAAAAAATATAGATTAGCTATTTAACTCTGGAATCACACAAATCTACCAGTTTAATTTATCCAATCAAGATTATTCTTTGATTGAAGTTTTCCACAAATAAAGAATTTTATGATAATTTTGTTTTTATAAATCATGTTTGCATAAGATTGGGATTTACCTTTGGTTGAACGTTCCGACAAATTTATATAATTTATCAAACTTGCAACCAGAAGAATTAGGGTCATGACAAATAGACCAAAATAACATATTTTTCGGACGACCATTTTCAAAATGGATGAAACTTGGTATGAAGGTTAAATAGATTTTATTTTATACAAATCAAAATTTTAATGCTTCTGCTCAAATATATATCGAGTTCAAAGTTAGATGAGAGCCTTTTTTTCTTTTAACGAATCTCAAATTACTCAAAATATTTTTGGTCTAGAGCATTAAAATTTTAATTTGTATAAAGTATACAATCTATTTAACCCTCACTCTAAGTTTCGTCCATTTTAAAAATGGTCTTACGAATCACTAGTCGATTTATTAACTAACTTTTTGCCAACTTTAACAGTGGTTAAGAATGGATTGAAGTTATCCTTAGCTATCGGCCTTCATTTATCTTCTGAACAATTAGGAATATAAATTGATCTTATTACTGGTTGCAATATTGTTTCTTTTTTCACCTGTTCTCGTTGCTTTTGTGATACTCTTTTATTTTCCAAAATTCAAACTTTTATTTTCTTTTTAAAACCAATAAAAAAAAATCAATAATATATTTTATACATTAAAAAAATCAATAATATATTTTATACATTAAAAAAATCAATAATATTTTAATAATAATAAAAAAATAAACATATGCCTAGAACACCTCCCTTATTTTTAAGAGGCATTCTCAGGACACGAATTCAAAATTTTTTTAAAAAAAAACTATTATTCTTTGTAATATGTCAATTTTCATATTGTTGTTGACACCATTAATTGATCGGTCGTATTGTTCATCATTTTTTCATCGTCGAGTTATCGGTCTTTAGCAATTTCGTTAGTACATCATAGCATAATGGATCATTTGCTCTGCATCATCTAAAGTTATCGTATTATCGATCACTAAGTTGGTAGTTAAATGATTGGCTGCATCCGAACTTGAAAGTTGATTATCGCGTCATTGTGGATAGTTTGATAGTTGGTCTTATTATCGCTTATTCTGAATCATTGGTGTAATATTCTCGAAATCATTGTAAATAGAATTTTCCTCAGTCATAATCAACGATTATATTTTTCCTTGAAACAAAATAATCTATCCTTCAATTTTCATTTATTTTTATTATTAATTTAAAATAATTAATATATTTTACCATTTCAATTTTTCACAAACATACCTTTTTAATCGACTCGCGAACTTCTTTTTTTTTTAAAAATGTACTTTACCATTTTTCAATTTTACTAACAAACTCCCTTATTAACTTTTCTTTTTATTCCAACTTATATTTAATTATTATTTTCACAATAAACAATTAATTTGATAAACAAATAACATTTTTTAATCCACTCACCACCCTCATTATTTATTTCAAAACATATATTTTCCAAACTTCATTAAATCAACCTCTTGCTGCATAAATTTCATTTTTTCAATAATAATCCATAAGTTGTTTAATTTATTTTTTTCTTTATCGATTCTTCACCAAATAAATTGATTTCTTATCTTAACATTCTATCAATTTAAAAAGTTAACACAATCTACATTACTATAAAATAATTTCCCTTTTCAACTTTTCCTTTTATCTCTCAACTGTTTTTTTTAACGCAAGAAAAAAAAACTATTAACCACGATATGCTTCACTTCACTTCACTTAATAACAAATATTTAATAAAACCAAAAAAATGACTTGCAATATACATTTTTGTTAAACCAAACGAATTATCAACATATTCAGTTATATTATCTCATATACTAAGACAATTCTTACTTTTACCTTTACATACTTCTAACTATTCAATTATATATATACATATATACCAAACTATATCTCAGTTTTTTTTTATGATCCTTAAACAAATATTTTAATAATCATAACTCGAACCGAACAAATATTTTAATAATCACAATTCGAAATGACCCGAACAAATATTTTAATAATCATAACTCGAAATGACCCAAACAAATATTTTAATAATCGAAATCGACTCAGATATTCCTGTCCCAATTAATTTAATAATTAAAATGGTTTAAAATATTTAAATTAAATATAACCTTTTATTCTATTCTATATTTCTAAATTCTATATATATATTTTTTATTCTATTCCACTTATTTCCCCCTTTTTTTTAATTGATCACCATGTCTCATTTCTACACTTTTATTTTCCATTACTACTGAACATAATTTATTCCCCAAATTCTCTTTCACCACTCCTTTTTCCCATTTTTTCCCTTTTCCATACATTCTAACCCAAACCAATTGATTCACTATATACTTCACCTGTTTTTCCTTCTCCTGTACCTCCACAATTTCTCCAGGTTTCAACATATCCAAAAACATATTTATTTTTCGACCTAACAATTTTTCCGCAGGCGATTTACCATCTTTGCCTTTAGCATTATTATAATACAACTGCAATACCCATATTTCACTTCGGTTATCTTTAGTTTTCATTAACCAACTTTTAACAATCGCCACCATCCTTTCCGCCTGTCCATTCGAACTAGGATGGTACGGTGGTGTAACTATATGATTTACATTTAAATTGATACAAAAATTTTTAAATCCCATACTAACAAATGCTGGACCTCCATCCGATACCATAACTTTCGGTATTCCAAATCTCGAAAATATTTTTTTACAAAATTTTATTACAATTCCCGTGGTTAATCCATGTACCTCCACGAATTCTATCCACTTCGAAAACGAATCAACCATTAAAACAAATTTTTTCCCTTCCCACTCGAAAAAGTCCAAATGAATTCTTTCCCAAGGTTCTTTAGTTCTCGGCCAACTACTATTTTTATCTCTAGGGGGCATATTGGCACAGGCATTACAAACCTCACAATTTTCCCCTAATTTATCAATTTCTTCATTCATCCCGGGCCACCATATGTATTCCCGTCCCCATTGTTTCATTTTCGTAATTCCTTGATGACCCGCATGTAAAACATCTAAAATTTTTCCTCTTAAATTACGAGGAATAACCGCTTTATTTCCTCTCATAATACATTTATCTACTATAGTTAATTCCGCATCCACATTTTTAAATTTCTTTCCCTGATCATTCCATGGTTTTTTCCCAGTAATCCACAATTTTACCAAATTCAATTCTTTATCCTTCATAGTATATCTCTGAATATCCTCCCATTTGGTGGGACTACCCTTTAACACTTTAGTTAATATCCTGATAAGAGCTTCCTCTCCATTTTCTTCATCAATTTTCCCCTCTTGTTTCTCATCAATGATTTCTAATCTAGACATAATGTCCGGCAAATGATTCTCTTTTCCCTGCCTATACTTCAACTCCAAATCAAAACTTCCTACCAGCAGTAACCACCTTTGCAACCGAGGCGACATCATTAACTCCTTATTATCCTTTTTGAAAAGATGTATTAAGGGTTTATGATCTGTGTACACTACAAATTTCCTCCCTATCAAATATTCCCTGCATTTTGTCAATCCAAAAATAACTGCCAAAGCCTCTTGTTCTATCACCGAATATCTTGTTTCTACGCCTCTGAACACCCTCGAAAAAAATATTACCGGTCTCTCTATACCCTCTATCAAATGCAATAAAGCTCCTCCAACACCTTTATTCGATGCATCTACCGCCAAAATAACCTCCAATTCACTGTTAAAACACACTAAAATAGGCTCCTTGCTAATTTGTAATTTTAACCATTCAAACGATAATTCTTGTTCATCTTTCCACTCAAAAGATACATTTTTCCGTAATAACTCATATAAGAGAGCTGCTACCCTTGCAAAATCTTCAATAAATCTACGGTAATAATTTACCATTCCCATAAATGATTGAATCTCCGCCTTATTCATCGGCTTTCTCATATTTGCAATACTTATCAAATTTTTATCCAATGGTTTTACCTCTATTCCATTTATCTTATGTCCCAAATATACCACTTCGGTAACTCCCATAACACTTTTTTCACTACTCGCACGCAATCCTTTAATTTTTATTCGTTCAAAAACCTCTTCCAACCTTCTATTATGTTGTCCTACCGTTATTCCCGTAATTAATA